GGAGGTCAGAAGAGAGCTTTGGATTCCCCTGGAACTGGAGTTAAAGGCGGTTCATAGTCGCCATGCGGGTGCTGGGAATCGAACCAGGGTCCTCTGCAAGAGCAGTCAGTGCTCTTAACCGCTGAGCCATCTCTCCACAAAAAACATTAGTTTTAATTATAGGTGTGTGTGTGTGTGTATGCACATGTGAATATAGTGCCTACAGAGTGTGTCAGAGTCCCTGAAGCTAGAGTTACAAGTGGTTGTGAACTGCTCATCATGGGCACAGGGGACAGAACTTATATCCTCTAGAAGAGCGGCAAGTGCTCTTTACCACTGAGTCGTCATCTCTCCAGCCCAAGAACATGGCTAAGTTTATAAGTCAAGACAAGCAGGAGACACATACAGTGTCCCAGGCTGGGCAAGATTTTCCTTCTTGCCTCCTAAGGCAGAAACCATCTTTCCAAGCTCAACAGTTCCCACACCAAGCAGTGAACAAGAAAAAAGGGATAAAGTCTATCAAATTTCGTGGACCAGGAAACATTTGTTTTGTTTTGGTTTTTTTTTTTTCAGTTTAGATATCATCAGTTTATTATAAAAGGAGGCATGGAAATTATTTACATGATGAAATATTTCAGAGCTTCAGTGGAATGGGCAGCTTTGTGTGATGCCATTTCAACAGTGGTTTCAGTCTGCATACTTCCCAAGAACGTCACCGTCTCTAAATAAGAAATAATCCTCGTTGTCTATAACTACTTTGGTGCCTCCGTACTCTGGGAGAACTTTGTCTCCAGCTTTCACACTAACTGGTTGAATCTTTCCACCCTTTCCTTAGAGCCTGATCCCACCACAGCTGCTCCAGTTGCTTGCAGTACTTCTCCTTGAGACTTTCCTGGAAGCGTAATGCCACCTTTGGTGACAGCTTCAGCCACACTCCTTCCAGCCAGTACTGTCAAACAGCAGAAGAAGCTTTCTAAATGCTTGTCCAGCCATGACTCCGGCCGCCGCAGCCTGGACTCTGCTCTCGTGCCACCGCTGCAAGGAGAGACCAGTTGAACCAGGAAACTTTTGTGCAGTAGAATGAGATGGAAGCGGAAAAGATCTTTGTAACTTGCTGTCACAGCAGCCTACAAGCTGATGGCAGCTGTACCAGGGCTTATGTCATTTCACAAAGGCCACAGAGACCTGGAGGCAACTGTAACAAGGTCAGGCCTCTAGCTGCATGTTACAGCACTCAAGGTCCGTATTACTTTCATAACAAGCACTGCTGGAGACAACAAGGACTGCAATCAGCCTGGTCACCCTAGAAAAGGGTAGACAAACACAGGCACACAAGCCAACTTCCTGACCATATGACCTTGTTCATTCTGTGCCACCCTTTAAAGGTATTTCCAGAATTTTGGTTAGTACCATTGGCAACTTTGCTTCATACACACATAACTCTGAGGTTAGAGTTTATGAAGTGTGACCTGTTTGTCAGTGACTAAGTTCTATTAGACTCAGCTTCCAAATGTGAATTTTTACTCATGGCTAAGCCAGGACAGATACAGCCTCCACCTCCACAGCTGACGGGAGATTCTTACCCCAAACCTAGGAGCGGCTCGTCCATAGCTCAGAGCTTCCCCTTGCATAGTCCTGAAGCTCAAAAGTATGGGCACAGTA